CCCCAAAACCCCAAAACCCCAAAACCCCAAAACCCCAAAACCCCTTTCATTCTCTACTTGGTTGCCAGTTTAATTTATTTGCAATTAGTATTGCCCAGCTGACTGAGAATGCTGTGGGCTTTAGGCAAAAGGACTTGGGGTTATTCAACGGATGGATAGGCAGCCAAGTACCTGCCAAATTTAGCCAAGTTTGCAATATGAATGTGAGAGTAGTTGCATGGAGAGAAGGAATAAGTGTTTTTTGGCAAATTTGGTAGGAAAAGTTTACAGTTTTAGCTTTTACAGACACTGAGAATCTTTTTAAATATTTTTTGGCCTTTCTTGAGGGTAAAAATGGGCTTTTGGTGATATAATTAATATTGCTAATTCTTGTAACTAAAGCGAAATTATGATCAGTTGAGGAGAAAAACTGCGCTAGAACCTATTTTGATATCAATTTAGTATGTCTAGGGAAATTTTAAATAATTAATGGAAGTTGGTAGCCATAAAGTTACTTTCCCTTTGGAAATTTCAAACGTAATCTTTCAACAATTTTATTATGAAGAGTAAATTGCTGAAACTGAGGTGTTGTATTCTTGTTTTGAGACTAATTATAATCAGTCAATGATTGATATATAAAAAATGACTTTCGACATCTTCTTTCTCTAATTCGGTAATTATGAAAAGATTATGTTCTTTAAAAACTGATCATGTGAAATCTCTCAATTTTTGAAAATCTATTTTATCAAAAATTTAATATCATCCAGGAATTCTTAGCACACTAATGATTCCTTAAGGAAAATATAATATCAAAGCGTTTGAGATAAAAATATGTTAGGCGATACCTTGTTGAGCATCTTTGACACCTATGTCTAATTTCTTAATTTCCAAGAGTCAAAAATTTAACTATCTATAAAATTTTACAGAATATTTTGAAATATACCTTCAGCATTTTTGAAATTACTATTCACCTTTATCAAGGCTACAGATCCAATATATTGACATGTTTCAGTGATCTAATTTGAGATTAGTTACCAAAACTGAGAAATGTCCGTTGTCCCACAATAAGATTGGCTTATTTATACTTTCTATATATCTTCAGAACAGCCTAAAGCTGAAGAAGTTTCCCATCGGTTTATATCCAAGACAAACCTTGCATGCATCCTCTGCAGGCTAGACAACTGGATAAGCGTAGTATTATTCATACTCTATACTCAAGCCGATAATTATTATTGTTGTCTCCTCTTAAGGACGCAGGAACCAACATGAGGAACATAAACTACTGTTAACAACAAGTAAAGAGATGAAAGCGAGCTATTTATTTTAGATAAGTAGGTATTATTGAGTCCCTAAATAAGTTTAAGAGATGTATCATTGGTAAACGCAACACTTATAAATGATTAGCAAATGTTATCTTGCAGGGTATGTTCCAGTGAATGAGTTCGAGTTCCCTGAATGGATGCTTTTCTGAGACATCTTTATCCTCTTTGGATCCATAGCTGCATGGTCAAGGGCAGTATATCTCTGCTTTCTCTTCATCTGATCCATATATTCTTGTCTGGGATTTCCAGGGTTCTTTGTCAGAGAATTATTAAGTCTTGATAAAGCATCTTTATTTAGATTTCTGAATATATTTTCTATTCTGAATGGAGATAGCAGCATTAGTGTTCTTTGAAAAGACTGCAAGCTTCTTCTTGAAAGCCATCCCTCCCATTTTACTTCCTCCAGTAGAGCTGCATCTCTTATTCTGCTTTTTAAGTTGGGCCTTATTTAGATAAACAGTCTTGCGGGATGGTTTTTTGTCGTAAAAAGTGTCAAATTCATTTTTCATCTGAGCTACAAGGTCTTTAGTCTTGTCAGATTTAAAGGAAGAGTTAGCATCATTGCTCCCCATCCCATTCCCTTGTGTTTTAGATCTCTTATGCTTTGGTAGAGAACCTTCTGAAGTCTTAAAGTTATTAGTTGATGCAGTAGTAGTATTAAAAGTATTTTGAACCTTAATTAATTTTGATTTCATTTTATCTGCGTTCTCTGCCATCTGTGAGATTGTTCTTTGTTTCATGCTTCTTCTTTTATTTAGAAGTTTCACAAGTGTATGAGCTATAAATATTTATAAATTCAGGATACAAACTTTTTAAAAATAAAATTACAACTTACTTCATTTGGGGAGTTTCAAGTTTAGAGTTATTCAAAATCTTCCTCCGATCCATAAAAGATTTTGAAGTATTGGGTTGTGGTTTATGGGATTCAAGATCCTCGATCTCCTTTGATTGAACATCTATAAGATTCTTTTGATTTTGGAGCTCTTTTTCTTTATTTACTTATCAATAAATTCAACATTTTCATTTCCCTTTGATGATCTTCTTTCATTCTCTTATTCTTATCATATAGTTGATTATATTCCTTCTCCTTATCTTCAAGCTTCTGTTGCAGATTATCAGAGTGAATCTTCATTTGCTGTTCAATCCTGATATGCTTTCTGACATCTCCTTCAAATTTTTGAATCACTTCCTCATAATCTTGGGGAGGTTCAGTGGAAACTCTTCCTGAATCCTGGCTCTTGCTTTGCTGCTTACTGTCTTTCTCTTCCTTCTTAAGTTTAAGGTATTCTTCTATTCTGAGATTCATTAAGATCTCAATAGAGGTTTTAAATATAGTTAATAAGATCTTGCACAGAAGTGTCAGCAAAGCATTCACGCTCTAATTCAAGAGAATCTTGTTTAAAATCTTTCATGTCTTCACTAGGTCGGACCTTGACACTGAGATACATCTCAATGAGCTGAGCACGAATGCTTTCGTACTCTTCAAGCCATATTTCTGAGTCTGCTTGTGACATAGTTTAAATCTACTAATTAATTTATAAAATTTGAGACTAGTTCCTATAAAACATTTGTTTTGGGGTTTTGGGGTTTTGGGGTTTTGGGGTTTTGGGG